CCGATCTACAGAGACACTTCTTAGCAAGGGAAGAAACGTCTCACCCATCTGCCCACCAAGATTCCCAATGAAGGGACACTGAGCTCTGCTAGAGATAGGGAAGGAATTTACAGGGACAGTGCTGCAAGAGTTTTGCAAAGGACAATATCAGGAGGAAAAAGAGGAGTTTAAGAAATTAATGCAGTTTTTACACAGTAAAGCAGAGATACATCAGCGTGTCCCACGACACTGCACTGCACCCTCCACTGTAACTGCAGCAAAGAAAGCTCCTGGGTGCTAATGTGCACCGAGATCCGTGGAGTTATCCACGGATAGCGTCTATCTCCTGCAACAAGTTATGACATAAATGCTCAGCTTCCAAATCCATCTGTATAGCTGGAAACCTGAACATGAGAGAAAGGGCTAGGGCTCCTGCCAGTTTTTATACTACTTCCTCCTTTGTGAAAGAGCTGTGATACTCCCTACTTCATACTACCAGAAACTTAAAGGTGAATCTGTGATTTCAGCACACTGAGATGGATATTATCATAGCTACTCACAGGCCTGCTCCTGCACTTAAAATCCATAGCCAATAGAATTTGACTGCCAAAGATGCTCATCTTAATCATGCTAGATCTTCATTCCTGGGTTCTGTCTTTTACCTGGGGCTTTGGTCCCGAAAGGTGAAAAAAATGAATTCCAGCTGACTTAAAAGAAATACGTACTAAATGCCTGGATCAATCAGTGCAAGATGTTGAAAAAAATTACTCATGCTCTACATAATTCTTTTTAAAAAAAAAAAAAAAAGCAGCTTTTTGGCATTTTGAAGCCTGCAGTGTGTTGAAGATGCACCTGAGCACCACATATATCACACTCAGCTTTTCACAGCCCTGACCAGAAAGGGAAGAGAAGAAAAAAATCTGCATTCTTGGAATTCCCGAAAGAGACACGAAGAGGCCTGCAAATATCCCAAAGACATGACAGATTTCTGGGCTTGGGGGGTGGGGTGTCTTTCCTTCTTTTTCCATTAGTGAAAACTCCCACAGCACTACATATTACTTAAGTTTTACAACACAGCTTTAGGGAAGGGGCAGAGTGTTCAACAACCAGAGACAGGTATTGAAACCCTGAGAAGGTGATAAAAAGCAGTATTTATCTGTGCCTGCTGCTAGGTTTGTCCCCAGCTTTTATCAAAACAAGTCCGATTTGAGTTTCAGACCTGTTATTGAAGTACAGAGAAATTCCACCCTTCAAGTCACAAAATCCAAACAGGAGTTAAGTCTCCACAGGGAAGAAATAGACAATTCTACCCACCCCACCCCTTGCTTCCATGTTAAAAATGACAATTTGGGAATGATTAGAAGATTTACTATAAGAAAGGCAGTCACTACTGACTGTAACTGAATCACTACTGAGAATTTATCACACTAAGCATCAGAAACGCCAAGTCACATATCAAGAATGAAAAGACCAACTGGAAAAATTCATCCCACTGCACACAGAGTAACCAAGGCAAGAAGTTCACAATTCCTGCTACTTCAGATCTTCATGGTAATTTAATTTTTAGGGAAACTGGCTATTGGGTCTACCAAACTACACTAAAGTGTTTGCATGCCCAGGAGCTTCTGTTTAAGGACACTGAAGCACTCACTCTCAGCAAGAGGATCAATAGAAATGTTTCACCAACGACTTTAACACTGCTCACATGTCCACAGTTATTCATGTGAAAAAGCATCTTGACAAATGGGCACATTTTTGCCTTATCATGGTACTCCAATGAACTGAGGGCTTAAATAACACACAGCAGCACCCGCACAAGGGACATCCAAAGAGGACCAGAACAATATTTGACGAAAGCCAGGGAGAGAAGCACAGAGATGACTCCATCCTCTGGCCAAAGGCAGCTGTCTCACGAGTGATATGTGGCAGCTGCCCAGAGCACAGCAGCATTCCTCAACCCTGCGGGGCTGAAAGGGGAGGGAAAGGAGAAAAATCAATCACCATTTCCCATAAAGTGCCTGCCTCAGGTCTCGTCTAATTGGAGAAAATGACACCAAAATTAATTTAAAGACACCTTGCACCTGCATGCGGACACACGTGCTACAGTTGGTAAAGGGAAGAGTACTACAATCAGAGCAAATTAACCAAGAAATGTGTTGGGTGAAACTTTTGTTTCAGCTGATGGAGGGTTTGATGGATTGCATACCAGTCTAGATTCAAGGAAAGAAACGAGAGCCTCCTCATATGTGTCAGCTGTCAGAGGTCTCCAAACTTGCATCTCTTCAGGACAGTCACGGCACAGGTACAAAGAAAGCACATTCACTTGCTGGAATAGACCCAAATGTTCTTCACTCCCCTATATTGCTCTAATTCAAATTCTCTAGAGCAGGTAAGCTCTGAAAAAGTGCTTTTTTCCTGAAGAACTGCAGTCTTACAAAAAGCAAGGAGATACCTAAGTGTAAGCACAGCCCCTGGGTCTGCAGGGGTGGGAAAGGAGGGCTCCCTATTCCCCCCACCTGACCCCCATCTTCATCTGATACATCTGCAGGGAGAAACCCAGCTGGCAGATAAACCACGAGGGGAGAATGTGCTGCTCATCTTGTCCTCTCTTAACTTTTATATTTAACCCCCATATTAATGCTTGCTAGGCAAAGTTAAATTATTTCCAGGTGTCCCTATAAAACAGGATGAAATTCTGCAAGAAATAGCTAGCTATATAAACCAAAGCAGCTTAATTCAGCTTTCCAGAGGGGAAAAATAGAAAATAAAACAACAAAAAAAGAGCAAGTTAACAGTGCAAGAAGCAGTTGGCAGGCACTTTGGTTTAAAGGTTTGATTAACACAAATAAACAACATTTAAAGTTTTAGAAGAAACAGGAGAAAAGCCATAAGACTACAAAAATGCCATCCCTGCAAACTAGAAGTGGGTTTTGAGTAGATCAGAGTGTAATAGAGACTGAATTCATTAGCTCTGAACTTTCACTGCTAGTGAAGAAAATTACTCACTCCCGGATGATTTCAAACATCATCTCAAGGAGATGGCACCAAACCAGTGTCTTGAAATATATACATGATATAGAGAGTGTGCACTGTGTAAATGTGTACACCAAAGGGTAACTGTACATCCATAACCAGTGCAATAAATTCAAGTAAACAAAAATAATGTATGAATGTAGTGTTCTGAGGGCTTCCAGAAGTTAATGTCTCTCCTAAAAAATTAGACCATCGTAAGTATTCTTATGCTTTTTGCACCAGTTAATTTCACAAGTATGTCTAAAAAGCTACTTGTAAAGATTAAATGAGACATTTAAAAAAAAAAATGCATCTATCGAGATGCTTTTCTACTTAATTTCAGTACACTTATCTACCTGGAAAAAACATCTCCGGCAAAGCAAATAAAAAAAGCAAAAAAAAATAAAAGGAAGCCTTACGAGCATGCATTTCATAGACAGCTAACCCGAGGACACAAAGTTTTCCAGCCCCCTTGTGAGAAAAGCCACTTTTTGCTTCCCAGCAGCGCCTTACCTGTGATGAGCACGGCTCTGTCGCCCACGGGCAGCAGCGCCCTGCCGCCCAGGTACACGGAGGAGAGGAGGGTGATGGCACAGACCACCAGCCCCCCGCCAGCACCCAGCGCAGCCGCGCACAGCAGCCCCAGCGAGGCAGGCAGGAGGCTCCACACCAGCACCTCGACCTTCTCCACTGGGCTCCTCTTGGCCACCCAGAGCACAGCCACCCCAAAGAGCGCAGCAACGCCCGCACAGAGCCATCCAAGGGGGCTGCTGGCCAGAGCATCCATCGGCAGGGGCAAGCAGCAGGCACGCACACCCCACCACGGCTGGGTAAAAGCAGGTGTTGCTAAATGCAGCATGTGTTATATAGGAGCAGGGGGTGGGGCAGAGAAAGGGGACTCTGTTTAAAGGTTTGACATAATCTCACTTACTCTTGGCATCAGCAAGAAGCAGAAGCTTTCCTTTTCTTACCTTTTATTCCTTCTGCCTGACAGCTCCACCTTCTGAACAATATGCTGGCTGGATAATGATTGACAGCGCTGGGAATGGACATGGTGTAGCAAGTGCTGCCTTCAGGAAAAAAATAACTGCTATACGTTTAAAGTATGTTTTCCTAGATAGTGAGAAAAGAACAGTTTCCTTTATGGGAAATAGTTGGAATTTCCTGCCTGAAAGCTTAGGGTGTAGTTTCAGTGGAAGTGATTTTTGATGGGCAGTGACAGAAGTGGGTCAGGACAGGGCTATTTACTCTCTGTAGAGCAAACTGTGTGGTTAGTCTTGGGCTTTATCACACGTGGGCCACCCTCCTCTTTCGACAAAAAGCCCCAAACGACCTTCCCTGCTTTAGCACACACCTTTGGCTATTTACCTACTCCCCATTCAGTAAATACCTCTGGTTAACAGACACTCAAGGGGGTCTGGGAGGCTGGGAAGGGGTGGTTGCTGGTTTTCCATTAAGGGCACTTCGTTAAGTGAACACATGTAACACACCTGAGATTGAGTCTTCAGTTGACCTCCAGTGACAACAGTCACCTTACTTTTGATAGGAATCACTGGTTCAATTCCCACAGCAAGTACGGAAGAAAAAAAAAAAGCAATTCATTAACTATATTTGAGAGATGTAGCACCTACTGTGGTGTCCTCTGAAAGTTACTTAAAAAATAAGAAAATAATATTTTAAAATTCATCCAGCTAAAAGGACTGAAATACAACATAGGTGTATTTAACCCTGTTTAAAAATCCCTGCTAACTGGTTTGAGAAATGAGTCGAAGTTATCACACCCAGCTAAGATCATGTAGCTGGTTTTCCAAAAGAAAATGTGCTGCTGACCTATTTTATTTCAGACAGACACGGGAAGACTGATGTGCAGGGTGAAAACCTAACATGAGACACAAGCACATTTCCGTTCCATTATTCCTTTGGGGTTTTATGGGATGACAAATCTGTTGAACACAAATTTTTACAGCCAGTGAAAACGTTTACATACCTCCATAGGTAGTTTACATTAGAGATGAGGTCACTTCCTTAAAGGGACATAACCCTCAAGGTCTGCTTGTCATTCACCCCTATTGTGAACACTCATTCATCCATCCTCCCCGAGTGCACAGAGTGTAAACTGTTCTCACTTCTCTTTGCCATTTGCTGCTTCTGCTTTTAGTAGCACGCTGGTCTCAAGGTCAATCATACCGTGCCCTCTGTTAAGGCATCTTCTCTAAAATTTCCTTGGAGAATTCTGCTTTTTCTCCCTAATTGGTTTTTATTGCATGATTTAGATGATCACAAATTCACTGGCATTTAAAGCATCCGCCCTCACACTTGAGGATATAGCGAGCTGGAGTTTTCGTATAGTGGGATGAGGGGCAGAAGTGACCGCCTCCAGCCTGACGTCCACCCGGGCTCCCCTGAGGCTGTGGAGAGGGGACAGAGGTGGGCGAGGGGCCACGCCATGATGGTCGCCATGCCTGGGCCCTGCAGAGCCGTCTCCATTTGAGTCTTTCCCTCTGCTCCATGCTCCCCTGCCACATCCCCCACTGAGATGCATATGTGCATGTGCACATTCTCTCCCTCACACACCTAATCGGAGGGTGGGGGGATACAGGGGCTGCTGGGGATGCCACAGGCACGCACTGTACCCACGTCTGCTGCTGCGCGCTGACACAACACCCGTCAGCGCCCACAACACTGCAGAACTTGACCATGGAAAAGGCTGATGGGGACGGATCTCTGTCTGACTTAATGTTGCATTTATATTTGTAATATAAAATATAAACACTGAAGGCTGAGCATGTGTTCACCCTGGTGTGTGAATCAAATTACATGTAAATGCACAGATCGTACACAGCGTGAGACAGGCTATCAGAAATGGGGGTATGATCTAAAACCGCCTGAGAAACTTTAACTTGGAGTACCCACTTCACAAACCCTCTGCACTTTCGCTGACACCAGCAGAGACAGATTGCTGCTTGAGGATTTTTCAGCACAATTTTGCAACAAGGTAAGTTTTATCGTCACATGCCCACTATCCATCTTAAGAAAGCATCTACCTTCCGCTCTCCCAGTTTGGTACGTCTCCAGTTCTCACAGCTGTACATTAACACAAGACTGCAACTGAGTTCGCATTATTTCCTGTTTCTCTATGCCATGCCTACTCATGCTGTGAATATACACCCTATCTCACCTCCTTCATGACAGGTTTTCTGGAACGATGTGGCTCAGCCAAATTATCAGGATGTTGCATCAACATGACATCTGTGTTACAAGGAGGACGGATTTGAGCTAACTGATTTTGAGCCAAGCTTGACCTACCTTTGGCAGGACATCTGTCTGTCTTCCCAGCTTTTCAAAGCCATCAGTGCCCTGTCCCTCCATGCCCTGGCAATCTACATATTCTATAGCGAGGCCTGAACACTACTTCCATAGTCGGCCCATGCCAACACCAAACCTCAGCAGAGAAAGGATTCAGACCAGGCTCCTGGCTGAACCATTCCATTGTGCGATCACTTACCCTCAGTAAACACTGTGATCTCTGTGCATCTTTCTGGTGTTCCTAACTGGGACTTTGCAGACCTCAAGTGTGCCCCACCATGTAAGTCTCTTCACACTAAATGATAACTTTTTAAGGTCAATTAAAGCAATAGCAAAAGAAGGTGCCTTTCATGGAGAACGATCCTTCCACAGTAATCTGCAACATGAATGGCCAGTCTCTACAGAATATCTTGAGTCCAAATCCAGCTTGTTTTTCTCCAAATCCTACAGTCTTTCACCTTGTGTAGTATCACTGCAGAAGACTTTCCCCAGGACAAAGCAAGGATGCCTCTCCAATGTATGGGATCTTTACCATAGGCATCCACTCACTGAGCTCCACATTCTCACTCTTTAGGCACAATCACTTCTTCCCAGATAATAATTTACTTCCTTCCCATTTCTTTAAGGCTTTCTCCTGTCATCCTTTGCTGGCTCTACATTTTTCAGCATGATGGCTGCAGCCTATGCTTTCAAATTTCTGTTCTTAACAGAAAAAAGGGCAAACGTTCAGGTTCCCCTGTTCCTTTGAAATGTGGTGAAGCTGAGCCTGTTCACAACTTCTTTGGAATGCACCACCAAGCTCTTTTTCTGTTCTGCCTCGGTAAGGAGCGCTTTTCTGTCTTTGCTTTTTGTGGCCCCATTTCTGGTTCAGAAGTTTTCCTACTGTTTATTTTTTTAAAGCCTCTCTGACTTTCCAACATAGTAGAAGCTCCCAGTTCAACCATGAGACCTTCAGCATGTCTCTGTTACCTTTCCCTGCACTTTTTTTTCACTCTTTGGCCACATATCTAATGTGCTTTCTTTGTACTTTTTCAGTAATTTACTAGTCAACATTTTTCTTTTCAGCACTTTCCCTTCATTCAGAAGTACCATATGCAATAGTTGCTGTGTGTTGATATTCTTTTGTCCCAGCATTGTCTAGAAGCTCAAATCATTTTTTCTACATGTCCAATCTCTATCTCAGCTTCCTCTGCCTCTGCTAGTCACAGATTTGTTCTTCAGTTCAGGCTAGAATTTCTCTGTTGCTGCCGAGAGCCCCTGCTCCGTGTGCTTTGTGCGCTTTTGGGGCTTGGGTAGGGGGATCTGCATTTCAAGTTCTGTAGGCAGGTTCTTGGCTACAAAGCTTTTGTTGGAAAATGATTACAGTAGAAAATAGGTTGGAATCTGTTTCACCAAATGAGTCATTAACCGAGATAGAAAAATTATTCTTATGAGTAAATATATATTTATGAGCAGAAAAAATATGAAATTATTTACTTTGATTGACTACTTTTGAGAGTACATAAACACCTTCATACATCTGGATTTTGGTTGACTTAATGGCTACACAAGCATTTGTCAGGCTGTAAGTCCTGGATGAAGAAGCTGTTGAACTTGCATACACAAAACTCATTTGGGCAAACAGACTTTGCTCTTACAAATAGTACTGAACTCCTATACAAAGGTTGAGATAATCCTCTGCCTTCAGCCAGTTACCTATTTGTGCACTCAACTTGAAGCACATGAATTGTCCCAGTAAAGACAATAAAACTATTCGTCTGCCTGAAGCTAGGAATGTAGCCAAGTATCTTTGTGAATTAAGACCTCTGAACTCACAGGCATGTATTGAATAAGGGCAAAAAAAGATTATGTGCAGCTAAAAATAAGGCTGCGTAACCTCTCCTTTGTCTTCAAACTATTTCTTTAATAGATCCTTAAGGAAAATAACTCCTGTCAAATAAAGTATGTATCCATTAAAGAAAAGTAAGAAATATGTTTTACCTCTAGGTTGATGAAGATTTTGTTTTTAGAAATATAGTAATCGCAAAGATTGTAAATTCAGAGATAGACAACAATTCCTGAAGATCACTTGGCAGCGAAGAAACAGCTGTAGCTCCTCATTTCTCAATATTCAACCCTAACAAAAGCCAATAATAATAACAACAATAATAATGACTTCCTTAGCTAAACGTTTTGTTACTTTCTCAAGTGTAAGAACCTCAGAGTGAGGAACTTCTGTACCAATGGCCAAACTGGACCTGTAAATCCTTTTGGCAGGTACCCATGCAACACACCACTTAGCATTATACAATCTTCAAAAGAAATAATTGCAGTCTGCATTTCCCATGCGAATCCAATGCCTGCAGCAGCAGCTCCATCTTTGCTTTGAAGCAGTAGGTCTTGTAATAACGTGCCATATGAAATGAAGCCATGGCTGTAAGTTTTGCCTTCGTATTTACACGAACTCTAATACCCTTTGTAAATTTTCTGCAATAGACAAAA